GCCTGAGTGAATGTCTGGAGGTGTAGGCACCTCGGAATGATTGTGTTAATGAGACGTTTAGAAAGTGTCCGAGAACGAGTTAGAACAGAGTCCAGGTTTTCGAGGATAAGCAACGTTTTACTTGTCTAAGAACAAGCGCACATGAGCTGAAATGTACATACAAAAGTTCAGTACGAGTATATATGGTAAGTATAAGAATAAGCACACAAAAATCATGACAGTTAAGCTAGCACTAAGTCCCTCCCCCATCCACTTTTATTCTTTTCTTTACAATAAGGCTTTCAAATAAGTCATGGCTGTACGGCAGTGAAGCATTGGTGTTGAACACTGATTGCCGTCCGTCGTTGATGATGATGATATGGCTTTCTTGGCATCAATTATGGATAGTGATCTCGACGACATCCAGCGGTCTTGTGGTTCGGAGAGGTCTCGACGACATCCAGCGGTCTTGTGGTCGATTCGGAGAGGTCGGACAGCAGTGAACGCCGCTAACATAGCCCCTTTCACATTTTGCCACGCTTCGTCCACATGCTCACTGCCACCACAGTATTGGTTTACTCTGGAGAGTTGTTGTGTTAGCTCAGATTGATAGTGATGGGGCATGGTAGTTCTTCGAAGACAGTGGATTGGCAAGCTTGTTGCTGATTTGCGGGGTCCTGAAGGGAAGCGGACTGTCAGACGTGAACGCACCATTGCGTGATCTGAACCAAGTGGTGTGTTCCAGAACGAACGACGGTCTTTAAATGTAGCTCTCCAACAGTGTCTGATGGCCACGTGATCCAGCTGGGTTCATGTTTCATTTGCAGATGGTGGCCGCCAGGTTACGCGATGCGAACGTTTATGATGAGAGTTCGTACTAGCCAGAAACAGTTGATGAGTAGCACACAATTAAAGTCGCTCTGTGTTGTCTGTGCGACGAGCACCGACTCCAAATCGACCGTCCAAGTGTGATTCCAGGGAGCTCAGATGAACGACTTCAGCATTCGCTGGGATTCAATCCAGCAAAGCGCGTTCAGCGCTGGGGATGAGTGCAACTCCCACACCAAATATTCAACGAGTCATCGCTTCTGGGTCACTGGATACACGAAGGACCAAATGTTGAAGAGCTGGGTTCATCCTTGGTGTTCTGAGATGCATCACCAAGCTTGGATCTTGTATGCGTGCTTCGGAGACAGTATACATCAATTTTAGGGGAGTATAAGGTTTCAGCCAGCATTGCCTGTTTGCAATCTGAGATAGAGTACGAACGTTAAAAGCTCCTATATAAAAAGGATTTTGTGAATTTAGAAGGGTGTATTTTGTTTATTGTTAATAGGTCCTTCGTCCAGATAGCTGACAGTCAAATGACAACGAAGTTTGCTTGTGTGGTGGGAAGGGGTTGGGGTAGGAGATCGGTGGTCACGGAACTGCGCGGGCAAATGATACTTTTCGGTTGCCCAGGCCGAAGAAGGGGTTTTAGTTGAGGTATCCAACCTTGGACCCTTGACTCGAAATTCTGACCCACAAGGCAGTTGGAAGATGTAGGGTTTTGTTCGGGGACCTGACCCTAGCCTCTGACTCAAAAGCCTTACCAGTGAGGCAGCGGACAGTAGGGTCTTCTTTGGGGACAACTATCGAGGTGGATGACTCAATAGTCTAAAAGAAACTTTAAAATGTTCGGCTGTAACACCCTTTCAGTGCCCAGCTGCCATACCACCAGGGGAGCAGGATGGGCCCGGACACTACCAGGTCGCCCAAGCCTAGAGAGGGTAAGTCGAGAGGTAAAGGTCGGGTTCGAACCACCGACCTTCCAGCCAGTGAATTCGAGCTCTAGCCACTGAGCTATCTCGCCCCCTCTCAACAATCTGACCTTCTCGGTTTCACAGGGTGGCCTAACCCGAGGGCACAGGAAGTAGGGCATTACTGCTTGACTCCTGATGCGGCATAGCAGGTGCCTTTTGGGCAGCACCGGACTCCATGGTTTTAAAGTATTTCAACCATCCTGATCGATTCGCCGGCCGTCACAGTCAACCGTTGGGTGATCGGAGTTTGCGGTCTTTAGGGCCGACCACTTATAACCCGTCCTTCCTTGATGGAAGGCAGCATCACTGCTTCCATGAATATGGACATTCTGGTCGCCTGGGGGAAACACCTGCCTTCACATTCGTATTGCAGAAGACGGTACAACTTTACCCTCTGATCGCCGCGTAGCACGACTGCTTGTGGTAAGGAGTCTCGCTGCTCCCCTTTGGCCTTCCTGGCATGATTGCACGTTGTGGAACGAATTTCCAGCCAACGTAGCACGCGGGATTATTGCAGCATTCAAGGCAGACCATCAGATTAAGGTCGGAAAACAGCGCCCGTCTCGGTGGGTGACAACTCGACATGTGTAACACATGCCCCAGTCACCTTAGCATCCAGTGATGGACACATTCCATGTGGTAATTAGACTCTGCTTTAACATAAAGGCTCTCCTGATGACTTTATTGCGAATTTCATCGTTTCAGCCGACTCTAATTGAGATCCTCCGCCCGAGATGCACAACTCTTGTAGCCGTGCAACAATCCAGCTCGCACGGTAGTCTGATATACGCGTCTTTTGAGACCCAGCGCGAAAAGCCCAAGTTGAAGAATGCGATCCTGGCCGTCAATAGGTATGTGATGACTTCCCATGTCACGCTACCATCTGAGCTAATGGAAGTTCCGAGATAGTGTCACTCCCTTGAACTTTAGAGATATGTATAAGAAGTATACGTTCTGCAGCATAACCTTGCATTCTGTGAGCACGAAGCAAATGCCAGACTGGATGACCCCGGCCCGTTTAGTATTTGGAAGTTCCGAGATAGTGTCACTCCCTTGAACTTTAGAGATATGTATAAGAAGTATACGTTCTGCAGCATAACCTTGCATTCTGTGAGCACGAAGCAAATGCCAGACTGGATGACCCCGGCCCGCCTTTTTAGTATTTCTTGCACTTCCCGCTCTACTTCAAAAATAAGGACAATGTCGTTGCATATTAGGACGCCAGAGTTCAAAATATATTCCAGTGCTGACCATATTTTATCACCAACAACGAAACTGAACAAATCGGGGGTGTGGACGTCCCCCTGTTTGGAAGGAAGCGATTGTCACGCCAATATACAAAACTGGTGACCGACTATCGCCTGGCAGCTACAGGCCTATAAGCCTCACTAGCGTGCCATGCATTCTGAAGCAAGCTATCCTAGATCACCTTACTTCCAGCAACCTGATATCTCCAGCTCAACACGGATT